AGATTCGTATGAAATCTGGACTTTTCATTATATTTTAAGTAATTTATGTAATTTCTTAAATATTAATATTCATAATATAATTTTAAAAGGTAGAAAAAAAATTGAAAACTAGATAAATTTTTTTTATTTTGGTGTCTTTTTACGTATTGATGAAAAGTTGAAAATTTTCTAATGATATATTTTATTATAAAAATATTTATTTTCAATATAATTTAATAAAATAACATAATTAATTAAAATATATAAACAACTCGTTAAGAATAAATTGATCATTGTCTATTCTGTTCAATTTTGTCTTACCAAACTCTGAACAACTGTTCAATCATGTTATGTTCTATCCTCTACGGATATCAAATACACCATATAATTATGATTTGTTAAGAATATTTGGCTAAAACACATCTCACATTGATGAGTAACAAAAAATGGAGTGAGCTTCATACTTACAAAATGTCAAATACTAAGGTTTTAAACCTCCAATCAAATGCAGTTTAAATATTTAATTTTTTTTCCTTTCTTTTGCTGTAGAATTTATAATAAAAATTCAATAAAATAATTTAAGATTTAGTCATTATGTAAAATTTTGAATTAAAGCTTATATTAATTTTTTTAATCATCAATTAATAATAAAAAATTTGAGGTCAAAACTAGAAGGAATAATAAATAAGAAAAGATTCAAACGAGAACATGATCAAAATAATAGATTACGAGAATAACCAAATCACATTTAATTTATATTAAAGTCATAGATTAGACGATTAAGATAAGGGTATGAGGGTGACTTAGAGTCTGTTTGTTAGCAACTTAATGAGTTTAATAGGACTTACAGTTTATTTAGTTAGTTATACATGACTTTTGATAATTACTTAATGATGTAGAAAATAAATTTTTTAATAAGATTTTAAGGAGATGTCTTATGCATAAAGCCAAGTTTTTTTCAAACTTGATCCTTCTAATTAAAAAACATGCTCATTTAATATATAAAAAAGCTCTATAAAACAAAATATTTTTAATCTATACAGATATATTAATACACACAATACAATGGGGGGTGCTAATGGCACCCCTTATAGGGGTGTGTTGAATGTATTGGAAATTGTGATGAGTTTAAAATTCAGAAAACATCAAATCAATTTTAAAAATATATTATATTTAATTATTATTAGTATTTAATATATATATATATATATATATATAT